AATAAACATGGTAAAATTTAAATATAGTCAATTTTACCAAATAAATATGGTATCTTTGAACATTTTACCAGGTAACTATGGAGGCCCTAAGGAAGGTCCCGACACTCGTGAAAATTCATCTTTGAACGATTTGTCTTATTTATCCGAGACCAGGACTGCGATGGCATGAACGAGGTACAAGCGTTATCTTTAAATTCGTCTAATTTATGCAATTAGCACTTTTCATTTGCAAGCAACCACATCGAGCCGATACTTCATTCTTCTTCGTTTATAAATTTGACAGTGGTCGGAACGATAAACGATTTTCAAGGAAAATCTCTCTCTGTTTCCTTTTCCGTATTTTGCGCAATTACGTTACCGCGCAATTATCTCAAGGGGTTGAAAAAAGCCAAGCGAGCTTATTTTCGAGGCAACCGTCGGTGGTGCAAAACTCGGCGAGAGTAAGTACAGAAAATGAGTAATTACCGGCGTCCTCGGGTGCTCCTCTCGGGCGCCATATTGCCAGTTTAGCTAAGCGTGTCTAATTGAACTAACGAGTGACCGTCGCTCGGACGTATAATTAAAGTGAATTTAAAGGCGTAGCCGGTGCGCGTTAGATGCCCTCGCGCCTTCTGAGGGGCCCGTTTCGCTTCCGAAGTGTCCTTGAGAGGAGCCGCTATTGAATTACGATCGGCTGGAGTTGCGGGGACGTCGAACGATCGGTAGCAATTACCCGCACTCCTACGACCCGGCACCACCCAACGCCGCGGTCTCCTTCCCCGCTGATAAGGATCAGGGTAAGGGCGATAGGGTCGAACCGATATCGCGCGTCGGGAGGCGCTGATAATGGATGAACGCTCTTATGTAGAGCGATATCGAGTACGCAATTGTTTGTAGATATTCCCACGATAGGTCCTGGGGAACGATAGAAGGTTTGTTCGCGTTGTCTGCACTTTCTACCCTCGAGTGTAACGAGGGTACTACACTTTTCTTGAAAAGTGCAGAAGGGTAGATACACTTTCGCCGACGTCCCGAACGCCAGAAACCTGACGAAAGTCCAAGATGACCGATTTAGTAGAGAGGTACGCGATTTTGAGGTTATCTGTGTCGGACGATGATGAATATGAAAATGTAATGCTTTTTCCAGCCTTCCTTCTCGAGCTGTCTTCGTTTTCTTCAAATTCTACGATTCGTTCCATTACCTTGTAATTGTAGAAGATGAAAATTCCTTTCACGAATTTCAGGTCTTGAGGATCAATAAGGGTAGAATATTATTGCAGTGGAATGAAAAACAATTTAACTACAGAGTGAAAAATTATAGTTTAGTTCATTCCAACCGCGGTTACGTAGTAATACATAATTATTGTAAATTTTGTCAAGCATTATGGACAAAACTAAAACGCTAAATCGTTCCATATATGAAGAAGATGCATTAATAATTACTTCTATTTACATTACGTTGAGGTGTTAGCATAATTTTTGCATTATCCTGTTTGTTGGTCTTTTCAATTTTCAAATTTGCCGCCAAATTCGCGGACTACACTTCTTTCACTCGCTCGGGATCGAGGGTAGAAAGTGTAGAGAAAGTGTACACTCGGTGTAGATGCGCTCGCAAAACAAACAACGACGCTGCGTCACTTCCGTCAAAACGAACGCCAAAGTGTACACTTTTCGTAAAAGTGTAGAAAGTGTAGGCAAAACGAACAAACCTAGTGTCATTCGGGTCAAGTGTGCGCAGTTTTATCTTCGAAGCTTTACCGAACTCGAAACAATAGGATGCTGAAAATAAAACAAAGCATTTTAGACACTGTATGGAGGACATTCGAAGGAAGCGTAACAAAAGACAGAGAATTTTATGTTTCTTGTCAAATAAGAAATAAGCAACTCAGGTGAGATGCGTGCAGGTGACTCGTATTAAGGGTAACTGTATGTGCACTTGAACGGAACAAGCGAACGCGCATGGGATGTGTGGACGCGTCAATGCTATCCAAGATAATTTAACAGACCTGAAACGTTTTTATTTAAAAAAAGGATAACAACCTTTCGTTGATATTTCGAACTGATTTGTTCTAATCGTTCCTCGCTAGATCAAGTGGCATGCGACATTGTCGTCGATCAAAACAAGGCGACAACGTGCGTTGCGAACGCCACGGTAGGGCAGATAATGGACGATCGCTGTCATAGGACTATTTAAACGTCAATAAATTGCTGTTAGATGATATCGGGTAATTCGATCCCCACCGGCGTGTCCACGAGCGTCGAATAAATTGATCCTCATCAAGTAGTCCGAGCGTTGCTCGCCATTTCAGGGAGCATTAAGTTGTCGAGCCTTGTCAAATCTTTCATCGTCTATCCTCCTGACCGAGGAAATATATTTCAATTGTTGTAATATTCTCATCCATTTTGTATACGAATTCTAAGCTGCTCTAAAGCTTTAAGATTAATTCCATAGCGATGATCAATCTAATTACCACTAAGGATTAAAGAATTAGTTCGACTCGTGAAGTATCTTAACTTCGTTACGAAAGTAGTAATCGAGATCGGTAGTTAAAAAACATAATTACCCTCGTTAATTCTTACATCAATTTGGATGAAACTGGCTATATTGCTAGTTATGTCGGTACGTCTGGGACGAAACTTCCAATGTAGCGGATGTAGTCAAGAAGAGATCTAAGGAAATATGAATAACTTGGAGTCGTTCGCATGTATCAGCGATTCTCGACCGATCCGCTCCACGCGTATTCTCACGGTAGGTTCTGAAGAACGAGGCCGAGACTTGGAATTTCGTGAACGCGGAATAACCCGGAGGTCTTCTCAGGACACCCAGTAGATAATCTCACGTGGTCAGTTTCGGCCACCGAGCTGCGTTGCATTCCAATGCAAATAACTCGCCCCGGGACGCGGCGTAATCGTCGTAATTTCATGCTTCTCAGAAATTCAAGCTCCCCTCCCAGGTGCGAGCGCGCATGCGTGCGCCCGCCTGGCGCGCACTACGCAGGCGCGCACCGCGGCCTACATAACCCTACTTTTTCCCTCTCACGGGCCGACTCCCATTCGACTCCTCACCGCGATCCACCCCTCGCGCGACTGCCCGCTATGTCGTCCACGTCGTTTTGTCGAATCTCACCCAAGAAACCGATTTCGAAAGTCAAGATAAAATCGATGTAGATGAGATAGACATATCCGAGGATAGCATTGGATTGGATGTATAAGTTATGCTATCGGAAATACGGAAGTTATTAAATCCCTTCGGTACCGATCCAAGAGATTGACCGAAATAGAACGGGCACTTTTATGGTACGTTTACTTCAGTTTAGCGGCGAAAGTCGCATAGTCACCTTGTACAATTAAATAGGGGAAAATTTAAGATGAAGAATAGATGTATAGTAAACTACCGCAATAGTTGCGGTAGTTTACGGTTTACACTCAATTCAAATGTTTTTCGTCCCATCATAATGAAAATACTCATAACCCGAGTTATAGCAATAATGATTTGGCTCGAGGAACACTTTTAATTAAGGATCGGCTTTTAAACATTTTTCTCATTACGCGATGCACTTATGAGTTTCATTGCAATAAAATTTAGCAACGCTAAAGTCTTTATTAAACGATGTTGACTCTCCATTTTTAGATTATTTTTCATATTGTATGAACGATATGAAAGACTTTGATTTTCACCCGTGAAGAACGGTTTTTTTTATTAAAATAAATATATCTATAATTGTGTCTTCTTAAACGAAATGTTTTTGCTTTCATTAAATTCTATCCCTCCGTGTGTAAGGTTTCGAAACGTGTGGGTACCGGTAATGCTTAAAATCGAGCGTGAAATCACGGTAGTTGCGCGTGCACCGGTGTACTCGATAACGTCGAAGGCGTTGTCGCCGGCATTACGCGAAAATGCGGCACGAGAAGAAATTCCCCGTGATTCGCAGCGTGCATTAATGGTCACGGGCTACGTACGAAACTGGTCCAGGAGCCGTTCCTGTGAGCGACAGCTTCTCGATCGTACACCTGCCCAACTGTAACCTCCCAAACGAAGAACCGCAAGAATATACTTATGTTGCTAAAATAAGAACGATTAAAACCGGATATCAGCTAACGCGTGGTATATAAACTCCGTCAAATTGAATAAATTTACTGCGGATCATTTTGAAATGACCAAGTCCTTAAGATGAAGTGAACCGTCGAGAAATTTGATCGACGTCGGTAAAAAAGACTCCTCCCATACAACTTTTATTTGTTTATAATTATTGTACGGAAACGACATATGATGCATGCCATTTAGTGCAATACCCAATATAATTTGACACGGCTGTCGATATAAATATGAAGGTCGGCAATGTAGGTATTTAGAAGAATCTTCTTTAAGGGCGTCGATCAAATTTCTCGACGTGTATTAATTCACCTTAAGGTGATATGAAAGTGTGATATATATGTATCAAGAAGTCAAAGTATTAATAAAATTTTACTACAAACTGGGTGCACCAGATTATCTAAAACTTTAACGCGTGATTATGGAGGCTCTAAGGAAGAACGCGCTGCCCGTGAAATTTTATTTTTCTAAGAAAGAAATGTTTTTTCGGTTCTTGCCCGAGATAAGTAAAAAATGTTTCTCGAAAATAGAAATTTCATGAACAGTGCGTTATTCCTTAGGGCCTCCATAATCACGTGTTAAAGTTTCCGATAATTCGGTGCACCGAGTTCGGAGAAAAGTTTAATAAATATTTTGACTTTTTGTTATGCATATATATCACACTTTCATATAACCTTAACACATTCGCGACCGCTGACGTGAATCACGTCCATAACGATACACGATACAAGTTTGCGGCAACCAGTTTCAGAATTTCATTATTTTCGCCGGTACTCAGTATTTGAAACGAAAAAAATTTGACAGTCGCGAATGTGTTAACTATTTGAAATAAATGAATTTAATTTTAGTAGCCTATATACCCGCAGCAAGTAATTTTTAACACTGTCGAGGGCTTCCGAAGTAACGTGACACTTGACTTTGTCGACAGAGTGGTTGGAGCTGTGGTGGTCGGTGCAGCGGTCTGCGGTCGCATCCCCGGGTTGGCGAAGAGCCAGAGAGAACAGTGCCGGAAGTCACCCCACGCGATGCCTGCCGTGGGCGAAGGAGCTGAGCTGGGTCTTCGCGAGTGCCGCTATCAGTTCCGGCACCATCGCTGGAATTGCTCGCACGTGGCCAACGATCAGGTCTTCGGCCACGTGGTCGTAGTAGGTAAGCTGTGCCGCTGCCTACTTCCGCAGATCGAAAAAGATTTGGTCGAATCGATACTATTTTTGGTCCAAAGAGAAAATATGGATGGACCATTACAGGGACAAAATATTTGCTTGATCTGACAATATCCTTTGGTCAATAACTTTTGGTTGATTACATCAAGTATTGTGGCAGATCGTACCAAATCTTCAGTAATCTCGTACATTTTAACCAGATATTTGGCTCATTGATTTAGATATTTTTTGAAATGAACGAAACGATGTAGCCAATACATTTCAGTTGATTCAAGCAAACGAGTTTGGTCAAGTGAACTGAAATTCGGTTCACTGAACCGAAACGTTTCCTGGTAATAACCAAATGTAATCAACCAAACGATTTTGTTCAATGAATCAAATCTTTTTCTACGTGTACTTGCTTATCGGATGTCCAGTAGAATGAACAGTTTAATGATTTTATCATCTGGAATTGTTATCGCTGGTGAACAGTTATACCCTCAACCCTCTTATAACGCGGTTAATTCGTTGTGTTGCATCGAAAACGTTTTCTCAAAGTTCGGTGTTATAAGAGGGTTGTTACAACAGGTTTATTAAGTTGTGCTGTATTGAAACTGTCGTAAGAATATGTTATGGGAAGAGTGTCGTAATTGTTTTATTGACATGGATTAAATTTCTCAGCGCCTTTCATATCACGTTAAGGTATGCAACGTGTAACGATAATTCGCGTATATTATAGAGAATATGATGTTGTTAATATGATTAAGACTAGCAGACACGCTAGCAGATAAATTTTAATTGCAAAGTTTCCCTGAATAAGTCAACGAAAATCCGAAATACTGGATCCCCAAAAGTAGGACCAACTTCGATACACGGTGTTGCATCTTCTTATGCTACTTCGTGTTTGTAACAATATTGCGAGTATACATATACATCTCTATTGATCTGCCTTCGGGGAAAAATGTTCACCATAACGTTTTCAGTCTCTCTACTACCCCATTTATATTATTCGACACATTTTTCATCGAAAAAGGTATCGACAATAAAACAGATGTACACGCTTCAACGGCGGTCGAAGCACCGGCACGCAAATCGAATGGATCCGTTAATTGATCTTGATCGCGTGCGGATGGATCACCGCGACGTTTCCATTCGGTCGAGATTCGATTTGGTTATTGACCGATTATCGAAGCGCATCGTTGTGCGAATGTCGGCTCGCGTTATCGCCAGGGTACGCGGATTTGTTCAAACGTTAACTGGAGGAGGCCGCCGCTCGTTTGGAAAGGACGTTCATTAGCCCGGTTCACGGGTTCATATTAAGTGAAACGTTCCGTGGATTCATCATCTGCGAGCTGGGAATCGATTATCGCTAGAGCGAATCTCTCGCGAACTTCCTCGAGCATTATCGACGCCTCGTGAATCAGAATGAGCGTTTCCGGTCGAGTTCGAGCGACTCTTGATCCTTTTAACCCCTTGAACACGGAGCCATTTCGACATATGGGCGAAATTCGTCTGACCGTGCAGGCAATATTGGACCAAACGTCGGCCTCTTAGTAGCCAAAGGGTTAATGGCGCAAGCCGCGATCGGGGTCCTGGATCCTACGGATGACTACTCATTTTTCACTCGTCGACCTTATCGATGAGCCGTTATCGTTTAATTTTTCTTCCATATTGCCGTTCCATTCCACCACCGTTCTTTTCCTCTTCCCGCTATTCATTTGTATTTATTGCGATAGACGCTACCGGTGCCGATGTCTCGTTCCCAACTGTCACTTCTTAGCCCGGCATAAGTTTCAAACGAGGAAATACGATTTTGGAAACCCTTGATCCCTGCTAGTAGTTAGTAGGTATAGGATGTTTCGTTAAGTACTCGACATTGTTTTATGAGATTGCACAAAAGCGAGCCTTAATAAAAGAGTAAATTGAAAGCAGACGGAAACGAATGAGGGGCAGATTAATGGCAAAACGGTAGCTTCTCCTCAGGGAGAAGATAATCCTCGGACTGTGTGCACGAGCCGACGTAAGCTGCCTCGCATAAATATTGCTAAACACACATATTTGTCAAGTTGGCATTGAAAACCTTGTTTGGCGGAGTGCAGTGATAAAACAGGTCCACCCGACTCGCGGGCGATTTCTCATGATTAAAGGAGGATTAAGGCTCTTTGTGGTAGGAATAGAAACGAGGAAAGGTTTTAAATTGCGGGAACCTAAGTGATTTGGTCAACTTAATTAATGGGAAATGTCTCGGAGATACTTTGTTGCGAGGAATACATTTATTTACATTAGAGATACCTATATCTTTAGTCTCCACCGGTGTACGTACTGCGGACGAATCTTTCTATAAAAGAAGTAAAACCTCGGGGAGATAAATTAGACTCTTTCGATGTCTCGAAGGGATGAATCTCGTCCCCTGACACCCGTTAGTTTGGTAGTCGTCAATTCTTTCCTCGGGAGGCACCCGTTACTTCCGCCCACGTCCCCAAGAAACGGGCTATTCAGTCACCTGGTCCGCTTCTTTCGTCCTTTCTCAGATCCCTCGGTCCCTGCAATTGCACTCGAAAAGTGCGTACATGTTTCACCCGGCGACGTCCCGAAATTTATCGGCGAGTAACCCGAGACAAGAAAGAGAAACAAAGGGAAAGATTCGGAAAGAGAGTACGGCGGTACTAAGTACGCGCGATATCGTGATAAAGGAGGGACAAGACCCCAACCGGAAGGTTTATTCAACTCTCCGAAGTCTGACGTTCTGGCCAACGAATCAATTGTTAATAGATTAATTGAAACATCAGGAAAATTTAGTTTAGATTACGGCGGTGCTAAGTACGCGCGATATCGTGATAAAGGAGGGGCAAGACCTTAACCGGAAGGTTCATTCAACTCTCCGAAGCCTAATATTCTGTTCAACGAATCAATTGTTAATAGATTAATTGAAACATCAGGAAAATTTTATTTAGAGTACGGCGGTACTAAGTACGCGCGATATCGTGATAAAGAAGGGACAAAACCCCAACCGGAAGGTTTATTCAACTCTCCGAAGTCTGACGTTCTGGCCAACGAATCAATCGTTAATAGATTAATTGAAACATCAGGAAAATTTGAATACACATCTTTTATGAAAACTAAACAAATCCTGTCCTAAGCTGAGACTTTTCTGGAAACAACGAATTCGGCCACTTTTGTTCCTTTTTGAAGAACGCGTTGCTCGAAAGTAACGTCACAGGATTGAAATTCATTTCCGATACAATCAATATTATATGATATATAGCGACGTTATCATTGGTTGTCAAGACTTACAGGATTGAAATTCATTTCCGATACGATCAATACTATATGATATATAGCGACGTTATCATTGGTTGTGACATTTAACGGAGGATTCATCCTAAATAGGTCCTTCAAGAAGGTCCTTACCGCGGTTAGGATGCAGAAGAGAGATAGACGGGTCGGAAATTAATGTGCAAAAAGTATAAATAACACTTACGAGCGAGAAGCACTCGGTCGCTAATTTAATTAGTGTAATTAACGGTGTCTCTCGACATGCCGAAGCTAAGTGCGGCGATACGACTCGAGATATTTCCACCGTGCTCTGAAAACCCCGGGCGCATTATGTATCCTGTAATTCGTTCACGTAGGAGTTGGCAGAAATTAAACATTCAATTAACACGCTTCGTTAAACGTACCAGAGCCCGATGAAAAGCCGTATCGATTGCACCGCTACGTCGGTGATACGTCGATCTGGTACGATAGCCACTAAGATTTATGACGATATTGCTTTTGTCGAGTGTCGATCATTCCGACGCTTCCGCTAATTCCTAACTCATCCGTGAAATTCCGGCTCGGCGAGGCGAGAGTTTTTAATTACTACTCAATTCATTTAGACTTTAAATTACGTCTGACAGACCTTAGGGTAGGTAAGTATTGCGTAAGGTATATCAAGAGTATTTGTCACGAAACCCTCCCAAGTTTCTTGTTTTAATCGTTATCTTGCGATATAAATAGATGATCCGCGAATAGAACTGCCAGCGTTAATCCGAAGGCCACAGAAGGATGCGGAATACTCTTAGACAATATCATATCAAATACAAAAGATAATCTACTTCATGTGCCCTACTCGACCGGTTCAATGAACGTCTTATATATCTCCTGAATTATGAAAATAGTCACTCAGTTTATTTAAAACCGTTGTCACGCACTATAATACGTGACTGAACAAAATTTATATTGCTGAATGCATATTTAATCGATCGAATTGACATTGTTACACACGTATTCGGGCAGTTTTAAAACGGGTAGAATTAATCGCAACACTCGATGCTATGAGTTTCTTGACATCACTCCCCACAAATCAGATATTTTTTTTATCAAGAAATAGCTTTGCGCCCTCGACCATCGCGGGAGGGTTGGAATCACTTCGAGGATATATTTATTAAATAACGCGCGAATAAAGATGCAGGAGGGCCCCATGCAAATGGGAATAAATAAATATCCCATAAATCGAGGGATACCGGGAAGGATGAGGTACTCTCTCGGCGAGAGCGGGGCCGAAGGTATCGGAATTAATTGATTTCGATTATTGGCATCGGGGCATGGGCCGGGTCCGCCCACGTGGCGAATCGTCGTGGCGAAATATTTCCGGAGGTGGTTGCAAAAATTTCGGAGCCTCGGGACGCGCCTCTCGTCGTCGTCGTCGGTGTCGTCCTTGCCGTCGTCGTCGAATACATTTTCATAAATTAAAACGGGCCCGGCACGAGCTCTCTCGCGTTTCGGAAGTTGCGTGGGCAGGCTCGTCCAAATTAATTATTACAATTAAGAGATCCATTAAGGCGCCGAGGGCTGATTATCCGCTGCCGATTGAATTCCTGGCTGGGTCCTTTCTGCCTAATCTCCCAACGCCTGGTGGAATTATTTGGTCAATGTTCGCAGGAAGTCGATCGACGCATTCCGAGGCCTCGACTCGCGAAGACGAAGCGAAAGGGTAATCATTATCCGCTGTCATAACCGATTATC